GAATACAAACTGGGTTCGACTTGAGGTGAGAATACAAACTGGGTTCGACTTGAGGTGAGAATACAAACTGGGTTCGACTTGAGGTGAGAATACAAACTGTGTTCGACTTGAGGTGAGAATAAAAACTGATGATCTCTGGTCACTTTTTCGACTGAGGTAAAGAGGAAATCAGAAGTGCAGGGTGAGGGAAACAGGGTATTTCCCACGCTCTGTGCTCGGCTCTGTTGGGTGGTCGCTTCAAAGACTTAAACTTTCAATAGTGAAAAGAGTAGCCGAGCACAGTTATGTTATTTGCCTTTTGCTCAATAGTCAATTGTTGCCCTTCTGATTTCACAATGCCCTTTGTAGTGGACAGTTGGTATATAGTGCATTCTGTTAAGTGAACTACTTGGAAACGAAAACAATCACCAATTGCATCAAGGCTTTCACGCTTGCCATGCAATTCGAGCAGTTCTACCGCTTAGCGGGGTGTCTTAGATTCCCAATTGGCCCGACAGACACGCCTGATTTGGGACTTTAACGGGAATCTTTAACAAGGGCGTACCGTTTCAGGAATTCAGCATTGAGACGTAAACTAGGGCAATAATTGTATCCATTGTTTAAATGTTATTTGAACAGATTTTTCTTCTGGGAAAAGACATATTTACGGTGAAACCCGTTATTAACTGTTAAGAAAATCAACCCATAGAGTATCACAAAATTACTCGCGGTTCTGAATCTATAAAATCGTTTGAGAACATGGAACTATTTTTTGTACTTAGAGGTAAGTGTAATTTATCTATTATAGTTTCTGTATGTAATTAGTGTGGCGAAAGGCTTCATATTAGATGTATGGATATATATTTTAGCACAACGATAATATTGAAGAAGAGGCTCGTCCAAAAATCCCTGAAAGTTTCGCAATCTGGGGTAAGCGAGATATATTTCTTGTTTTATGCTGTTATATATTATATGAATTATATATTAGACATCCGTATTTCTATAAGTTGTCCACCTTTCGCTTCCTAGTGCCAGTATTATAGCATATTTTTCTAATCTTTCTAATCTTAAGTTTGAGTGGACGAAACACACCCCAACCCAGGCAGCACAACTGACCAATTAGACGTATGCGAGACGTCCATATTAAGTAATTTTTGGTCAGTACGTCAATTGACTTAGAAAAGACGTCAGTACTTGGACGTCTATTAGTCAGATATATATCGACGTCCAATGGACCGCCGAGAGTGGTTAAAGAGTCATTAAAATAAGCTTTATTAAGACCAATTATTATAAAGACCAACATACTTTATTTAATAATATGAAATATAATCTTTAAAGATTAGATAGATTAGATTAGATAAATTACAATCCCTCTGTCTAAAGTAAAATTAACTGTGTGATTGTCTATTTCATTTACTTCTTGTCAATTTGTTCGCGCCAAGTTTATTGGATTTTAGTTAGGTTAAAAACGCAGAACCCCGGCACTTTGACGTGACTGGTATTCTGAACTTGTACTTTGTACTTGTCTTGTTTCATGTGATTTGTTAATGGGCTGTTAGTTCATTATTATATAAAACTTTTTACGCAAAGGTAAGTACCACTTATTTATACATTGTATTGATAGTTGTACCTAGCTTTTCTATAGTGGTCTGGGATAAACAGTGGAACGCTTATAGGTAACAGTGTGTGGTCTATTCAGAACCATGTGCCGAGACAATATATGTATGTAGGTAGGTATATAATGTCTTTTGCGCCCCAACTTTCTTTTTAAAAACAAGATCTGGATGGTTTGGAGCCACAGAAGTAACCCAACTTTTGAAGAACAAAAAGCATAATTTAATTATAAAAGAATAGAACATTGGTTTTTAATTGTGAAGGTTATATAAGTAGTATTACTTTCCGATTATTAGGTGTGAAACTGTGATATACTTGTAATGTATCAGGTGGTACAGTTAGACGAACTTGCGGGCAGTACCCTGGCAGTGATCAACCAGAACTGCAGAACTGGCTCACACCACTCAAGCAAGAGGTACTGTGTCCTCCGATTAAGGGGAGGAAAGCGTTTAGAAAGGCTCTTTCTCACAAAGTCCAAGCTAACAGCAATTGGAGGCCGTTTGGAATAAAAAGAGTTTTCTTTCGAACAGGTTCGTAAGAATAGTAGTTTTTTTATCTCCAGTTTTTATTATTATTTTTGTGGCTGGTCAGAACTACTTTTAATAAATAAGTTGTAACCATCTTTGCTTGCTTCCTGTCAATAAAAAACTATTTAAGATTCTATAATGTCTTATTGTTACCAAAACATTTGGACGTCCAAATGACCAGCTATCTGACGTCTTCTGGCCGAATCACATGTCGTCGTTTAGACGTCCATAAGACGTAGTGTGCTACCTGGGACGTGACTTGAAGAGGCCACTGTCCTCAGAATTGAAGGTAATACTTATTGCTTGTGATTAAGATGTGCACTTATTTATCATACTCGTTTGTGATACTCCAATGTAATACGAAAACCAAAAGAAGTGTGCGAATTATCGCACGTGCCAGAAAAGTACTGCCAGATTTGGACAATGGCTGACTTGCAGCTTCTGGAGCTAGAACTAGCCAACAAGAAAGAAGAAACATATTAAATATAAGGGTTTTTATTTAACCATTTATAACAAACATTTTTATCATAATTAAACACATTTTCTTAATTTAAATTTTAAAAGTAATTGTCAATTAACACTTGACGGTAGTTATTATTTCTATTCTCATTTCCATCGGAAGCTATCCTGGGAACATTTCCGCTTTCTATAAGATAATGGAATTCATCCATACTTAAATTTTCCGGTGAAGGTGGATCAGCTTCGTTCATTTCCTGGGCTATGTTGTGTAACACAGCAGTGGCGACATTATCATTAACAAAGTTTCCAATTGACATCTTAACCCGTATGCTAAAACCAAAGACATTAATAAATAAACCAAGCTAGTCATTCATAAATCCCGATTTGTTTGGGACCAACATTAAATTCTATCGATCGGCGATTTTACAATGGAAAACAGGTGGTAGGGATAAAGTAGGTACCGAGCAAAGAGTAAAATTAATCGGAAAATTAACTGACCTGGCTGCTAGTCCTAGGCGTAGTAAACATCAGTATTGATCTATTTATTCTAAGCATTCACTCATTTTCTGACCTTTTCCTCTACATTATATGATTGAAATTATAAACGCTATAATAGTAACGCAAATTTTTTAAACATTTAATAGCTATTCAATAGGGATCTAAATCTATCTCTAAGCTTATAAATTAAAAACAACTCACGCCACTGGTCCCTGTTTACAATCGTGCAAAACAGTACAGATTAGGAAAATTCAGGCCGCTTTTCCTGCAAATGAAACTTCGCCCAATTTCTTTTAAGCGTAACAGTTTATTAATATCACGATTATCACTTATTATCACCAAAAACATGAGAAATTGCCGTATTTACTTGTCCAACAAATCCTATTTCCCTCTTACTATCATGTCACAATCACGTACTCCCCCTTTGCGGTGTTGTCATGATGAATGTTTCATTATGTTTGTAATTTATGATGTAATTTATATTGAGATTACATGAGTTAGATCGTGTAGTGCTTCAACAAAAATTAAAATAAGTTTTATTCACATTAAATAATAAATATGTTGAACAAATATGCAGAAGTGTTGATATAAGTATCCAAATATTACCTGCTATTTACGTTCAGTTGGTACCTGATGGTTGTTTTTGCGCTGGGTTCTGTGGGGCTCCAGCCAAGCTGTTTACTCACTAAAACTCTTTCCGTCTTAGCGTCCAGCCTTGGACTGCGGCTACTTCTGTTTTTTTATTGTATATTTTCTGTACAGGCCATAACTTGGAGTAAAATGATGCAAAATTATTTCGGGTCAAGCTTTTAGTGATTTTCAGGAAATCGAAATCGTCGACCATTTTGATTTTCACGAACACAACACAACACTGGAAGCGGCTGGTATCTGGCTACCTTATATTCAGTTGTTGTAAAACTCAAATATACTTCACAGTTATCTAGAGATCACAGAATTCCGAACACAACACTTAGTCATTCTCCGAGCCACGTTATGCTCCATTATTGTAAAACAAAGATAAATATCACAGTTATCAAACTAGTTGAAAATGCTTATGATTGCAAATTAAAAACATTGATAGACTGAAAGATTGAAAATTTACGGAATAATCTTAACTGTAAAATACTGTATGTTCAGAGTCCTCTTATGGACATATGTACAAAACAAACGCATGCAAACAATCCGCTGATCCTCTGAATTTTTGGACGACGCCTCTATGTGGTTGCATTTAGCAAAATCATTTGGGCGGGAAAGCAAAACTGTCCCATCTATACTCTGTAATCTGTGCAGTTAAGTCACAGAATTCGTTAGCACCACTGTCACCTAGCGTTAAGGCAAACCGTAACAGGCAAATAATTTAAGGGGAAGATGAAGTGCCGCTTAAGTGGAACCTAAAGTCAGATTTGAAGACTAACCTCAAACAGAACTATGTTTGCATAATTTTGCAGTTGCAGTATTTTGTTGCAAACAAGCCCATTTGTCATTATCAACCGATAATAATTAGTATATTCCGTGTACTAAACCATTTTATGATGAATGTGTTAAGTAATGATCTGTTATTTGATAATGATGACAGTGACCACGTGCGAGATCCTATACTAGTTTACAAGAGAACACATTATTTGAGAGTTTTGATGATCTGTTTTTTTTTAACGTGTTCCGTGTCACAAAGTACACCGCAGTTATCATCGGCACACATCATAGAAGAGGAAGGTCTATTCTATCTATTTATATGTACCTCTCGTATATTTAAACGATATTTGTTAATTCCTGTTCATAGTCGATGGAGGATATAACATAAGGCCGTTTTTAGTAACTCCGTTATAACAGCCTGCAAATCGTACAAAGCAATTATTCAACGAGTCGCATATACGGATAAGAAATATAATTGAGCGGGTATTTGGTATTTGGAAAAGAGGATTCCCAGTCCTTGCATACGGTTGTCGTCTAAAAATAGATACGGTCTTAATAATAAAATAATTGAGTAGAGCAAAATTAGGAAAAGCCACCTGATCATGAAGATCTTGAACGCTTCATACATCTTATGAAAGAAGAAGATGAAGTACCTAACATAAGAGACATATATAACAGAAACAATATATTGTTGCAAGGGAATCAAACTAGGAGGGACTTAACTGATCCTATTTTAGATTCATTGATAAATAGCGATGAATTGAATTGAAAGTAATACTTTTGATAAAGGACCAATATTATTAAATTAAAGTTCATTATTAAATTGAAATAACTTATGATGCATTACTAAAACAAATGGAAAATAGCATTATTTGCTTAAGTCTTTTTTAAGTATTCCAATTTTAACTTTTCCTACTGAAACTCGAACATGATTTTGTCCTGCTCTCTTGGCTAAAATGTTTTGAAGCTCCTCTTCATAACATAGTTATGAAGTTATAGCTCCGTTTTTATTTTCAAATGATTCCATCTTTAATAATATGTTATTAATTAATTACATTTGAGACGTAAACAGTAACGGCAAACTCGCATTCAGTTCTAAGATAAAGGTTATTTTGGAAAGAAAAGGCGGGAGCAAAAGCCGATTTGTCACTTTTACGGCCATTTGCACCAGTCATTCTTAGCAAGGAATAACTTTGGATTAAGGTTAATCCTAACTAAAGATAGTTTTGCACGGCTGTTATGCCCACTTGCATCAAACATTTAAGAAAGACTTAAGGTTATGCTTAGCGTTAAGTTCGAGCCTAACTCAAAAATGGATTGCACTAACCGATGACACGATCTTAAGTTCGTCTTTGAAAATCTTAAATTTAAGGACTCGTTCTCGAGTACATAAGCATGACTTAGCCTTCTTCCAACCTTACTTTAGTTGCTAGTTAGTCAAATATACAGCATAATATACATCCTATTTTCAAAAAATAAGTACCTACGTACATCATGAATTTTGAATTTCAACGTTTCATTAACGCCCTTTCTGACTAATTGGAAAAATGAGAGATGGCGGAGTTTCATTTGGCTGTACCCAATCACCATCAAAAGCAGCAATTGATTGATTCACTCCATACAAGGTCTTATTATTTACAATGGATAATAATATTTTATCTGCATTGCCCTTGGGAACCGAAGGCACGGCACAACTCCTCCGCCATCAGTTTTATAAAGTTCTTTATTCTGATTGGAAATGTGCTTCCGAATGTCTTCTTTTTGGTTATTGTAGAATTTCCTGATTATTGCGGTCGCAGGCGGAATTGTTGTTTAAAAATTAATTATTAATTGTTTTAACAAATAGCATTAAATTGGCCCGACATTTTCTACCATGTTGACTGCTTTTCTTGCGAAGACACAGCATCTGGTTTTTTTATTGTTATTATTTTTATTATTATATTTTTTATTTTCGGTGATCTTTATGAAACGCAACGAGCTCTAAAGAGTATCTCTTTCAGAAGCGCCAAAATTAGGAGACCCTTTCTGTTTCGCAGCCATGAGTGAAACAAAATTTTAAAAAGGTATCGAATTTCGGTTAGAAACAGGTTGCCGGTTATTGCCTGAAGCTTAGCTAAGAACACGTGAAAAACGGATGGTGCAACTCATTGAAACTTAAGTCGGATATAAATTTCAAGGTATACTTAGGTAAGGACGTGCTTAGAAGAAGTTTGGTGCAAGTGGGCATCAATTAAGTGATACTTAGCTAAGATAAAGTTTTACCTGGCAACATTGCTAAAAGTGACATATTGACTTTTCTCCCCAAATTAACCTTTCTCTTTAGAACGATTTCAGTCTTTATCTATGGTTTACCCCGTAGGTAAAGACGAGTTACCCCACACTGTGTACGTGACGAATAGAGTTAAATATGTCGTTGGAAAATAAAAAACGGGCTCCAAATTTTTCATTTAAAGAAAAATGTCTGCTAGATAGTGTAATCCACAATTTCATGCATATTGTGGAAAATAAAGTAACAAATGCTACCACGTGGCGAGATAAAGACTTGGCGTGGACCCAAATAGTGCGAAAAATGGGGGGAATGGCATTGACGAAGATGCAGCTCTCAGCCCACAGCAGCAGCACAAATCAAAGATTTTGACCACGACTATTATGAGAAAATTACCAGCACGCCGAAATCTAACGAAATTATGTCAATATCGTTCCGATTCAAGTAAGTTGATTTGTTTAGTACATTTACACATATGTTAATACTACTGTAATCCTTAACTAACAGGTATTAACGTATAATAATTCTTCACCTCTGCTTTAGAAACCTGACCAGACATTATTTTCGGGAAATGTTGGTCAACCGAAAACGCCGTGTTTAAAACACACGTGGACAAAAAGGCGCAGACCACCACAAGTGCCACAGACTGCAGACTCCCAGTTTGAAGCGAATAACGCCGAGAAGCGATGCTTTGAAGAGGAGCTTCAAAACATTTTGGAGAAACGGGAGCAGGACAAAATCTTGTTCGAGTTGCTTACGAAATTACGCTTAGAAATCGAAATACTGAAAAAACAATTAAACAAATAATAAATTTTCTATTTGGTTTTTATCCATTCAGTTCGTTTCAATTCACTTCATCGCTATTCATCAATGAATCTAAAATAGGAATCAATCAAGTCCCTCCTATTTTGATTCCCTTGCGACAATATGTTGCTGAAAGCGAGTGGAATGTTGGGAACTTCATCTTCTTGCATAAGATGTATAAATCGTTCAAGATCTTCGGGATCAGGTGGCTCTTCCTCATTTTGTTCTCCACATATATTATGAAGAACTGCAGTAGCAATTATTATTATTAAGACCGTATCTATTTTTAGACGACAACCGTATGCAAGAACTGGAAATATCCGTTCAATTATATTTCTTGTCCGTATATGCGACTCGTTGTATAATTGCTCTGCACGATTTGCAGGCTGTTGTAACGGAGTTAATAAATACGGCCTTATGTTATATCCTCCATCGCCTTTTAATAGAAATTAACAGTTAGATGTATCGTTTAAATATACGAGGTACATATAGAAGGAATAAACATACTCCTAGGTTACTTACCTAATGAAACGGAGTCAGGAAATAAGTTGTTTTCAAACTCGTGCTTCACTTTGCTGTTGTTGAATATGGTAGCGTCGTGAGTTGATCCAGGCCACCTGGCTACCACATTCATAAGCTTTAAACCAGCATCACCTATAGCCTGAACGTTTATTGAAAAATAGCCCTTTCGATATTTAAACACTTCAGCATCCGATCCACCTAAGTACATGATTTAATACGTAACAAGTAATACGTATTTTATTGTGTATTAAATATATATTTTTTATATTTTATCATTCGATATATTTCATCATTCGAAGGCATTTTCACGTATCTTGGCCGTAAAGCTGCAATTGCATTAGATACTTTTTTAATAACCCTAGAGGCAATTTTTTGATGAATCCCCATGAAATCTGCGATAAAATTTTGATGAGCATCACAAGCATAAAATCTAAGAGCGGTTAAAATTTGGTTTATGGGTTATAAATGGTTATTTCTGTAAAAAAACATGAATGGTATTCATTGATATCCAGATATTTATTATTTTACTTTTGCAGCTCACGTGCTACTGGGCTATTCTAGAAGGTGGCCAATTTCTTCTAGCAATCGAAAAACGACCGGTTTTGTTAAACGAAAGCGTCTATAAAAAGACTTTTCGAGTTAAAATCACTTCCTTGGAAAGGAACTTTTTAAAACAATTTTTATTTCGATTGATATGGATTTCAGCTTCAAGATACAACTGTTCGTTATTACAGGCTTGTGAGAATATATACTGAATTAATGCAGATGAGTTTACATGCTATCTGTGAAACTAAAGAACATTATGTACCTCGTAAGCATAATTAGATATTTCTTTATGCTTAGCAGCGAAATAGAATATCGTAACTCCTTCGGCCTTAGATGAAATTATATTGTTGCGGCTTGATTTTTAGCGCACAGCGGCAACGCAGCCTCCAACGTTTTTGGGACGCCTAGCTCGATACTTCGAGAACGAACGGCAATAGCATAGATAAAGGCGAGATAAAGACGGCTGAGAGCAGAGCCAAGGAACGACAAGACAAGACAATGCGTATTGGAGGAACACAACCTCCATACCATAGACACTTTATTTTCATTTCCCATTTTGGAATATGGCGCAGTCCAGTGACGTCATGGCCAAGAAAATGATGTATATCTTGTCGTGTATTCGGTGTACCATCGACTGTTGCGCGTCGGTTTTTACCATGTATTCTGTGTGTGATGACTTAAATGACAGTTGTTGAATAAAAGCCACTAGCGCATATTAGGCCAGGTGACTCCCTGTTTAAATGACATGCGCAAGTAAGTTTTGCCGTTAGATTTAAACTTTAAGTTGATAACGATTAGAACTATCACGTTAATTTGATTTAATGATGACTAAGAGTTTGAAAATACCAGCACCTTTTACTTACCATCATTTTAGTAGTAATTTAATTAATATGGAGTCGTCGAGAGTAAATCTGACGAGGTAAGTGTTAGTGTTGTATGTTTTAAATTACAAATCAAAATGTACAGAAATAATCACAATAAGTATTTCGTCCTGTTGTAGAACAATCTTCGTTTGTTCAATATGTGCTAC